CCATTTCAATTTTGATATATTAAATTTAAATTTTGTGATTATATAGATTCTACTATTTTTAACCCTAGAATGGTATTGTGCTTAATATGTAATTTTTATCCATCTTTTGTCGTTGTATACTTTGTTATAACATCAAAGATTATTTCAGAAAATATGGAACTCTGGTTTAGTAACTAATAGTATTTTTTTTGTTTCAAAATTTGCATAGCAAAAGTACTAGAGTCTGCATGTACGCCTCGGAGGCGTGCAGATACCGTTCTAGGGTTAATATCTACTAAATGATCCATTCTTTTTATTATATTGTATTTTTTACACCTGTCCTGAAATAGACAACAAGTAAAACTATAGGTTAAAAAATGACTTCAAAAACGTCTGACCATTATCAGAGACTTTGAAAATTGACAGATGCCAATGTAATATGAATTTCTGCTTAAATTTTGTCCTGTGGCGTAGTTGGTTGTTAGGAAGGTGGGTTTGAATAATCCTTGAGGCGGCTTTTGTAATTGTGTGAATATGTTCGTAGTATTGCATCGTTTATGTGTGGGTATGTCGGTGACTGTTTGTATCAACAAAATAAGTATATACTTTGAAGAATTCAAAATTTATTTCAATAATTTATGTCTATTGAATGATGGATTTGAAATTTATTAACAGAACTGAAAGGTTTTATGTAGAATGATGTGTGCGCTTATAGGACGTAGGTCATGAATCAAAAACAATGATTTTCGTTTCTACAGCTATTGTCTGGTTTTAGTTTCTTCTACGATTGAGTGTACAGTCAACCCTCTTATAACGCGGTATACTGAAAATGCAGTTTTCGTACTACGCGGGGCTGAAATTGCAACTACCCTCCTATAATACGGTATTATCATAAAATATTTATAATGTTTTATTATAAATATGTCAGGTTTTATCATATCTACGTACGACATCGGTTTTAGTAGTAGAAAAGACAAATAATCATTGGGTTGCTTTCTAGTATTAGGTTATATTTCTTTGTCAACGAATTATGAAATTTTTTGTTAGGTTTATTATTTAGAATTTTATCCAGTATAAAATATATAATCACAACTATTGGGTCACCTTCCAACACTCATGTGTAAAATACTTACGGCAAAATGTCAAATTGCAAGAACTTCCCTTACCAAAAATTAAAATTTTTAATAAACCTTTCAATTTTTTTTGAAAACTTCGAGTAAAAATTATTAAAAATTTTGAATTTTTTGAAAAAAATTGATTTTTTTGAAAAAAAAATTGACTTTTTTGAAAAATTTTCGTTTTAGATTTTTTGCAATTACTTATAACTTACTCTACGGAAAGTGCACAATTATATGTTTTCATGAAATAAATGGATTATAAATTATACAAAATATTGTAACTGCAATAATTTAAGTAACATACGAAACAAATGCAACCCTCCTACAAACCGGTATTCTGTAAACGCTGCTTTTTTACTACGCAGAACTAAAATAGCCAAATCCTATGGCGCGCTATACGGTACTCCTATAGCGCGCTATACGGTACTACTATAGCGCTCCTATAACTGTCCATAATTTTCTTCCGCGCAATTTAGGAATGACTCAAGCAACTAGATATTGCAAACAGTTTTAATATGAGTTTTATTGTCAACTATTTTATATTTTACAATATCGATTGTAGTAGTGTCTGAGCTCTTTTACAGAATGTTAGTTTACCAAAACAAAAAAATAGTTACATGATGAAACATTTTTTCAATTAGCTTGTATTTAATTTTTCTTATTATATCATTATATACAATCTTCAAAACAAACTTACATTTTTAGCATATCCTTATATTAATTTTTCATTTCTATGAAAACAATTTATAATTGATTGTCTTTTGTAAACAACGCTATAGCCGGTTTACATGAAACGCACTGCGAATTAGACTAGTTTGTACGATAAATCTGATTTTCTCATAGCGCGGTTTTGGTATTGCACGGTATAAAAACCCCTCGCGTTGTATTGAGGCTGACTGTATATCCAAGATAATATTAAGCTACTTTTATGAATAATCAGATTGCATAACACAATATACTGTGTTTGTTTTGTTGCTATAATTCATAGTTTTAATACTGGAACTCAGTCCTGTCGGCCTTGTTGATGATGATACACGAAGTAAACAAAGACAAATATCAATAGTGCGATTTATTTATTGAAGTTGCTTTTTTCTCAAACGACTGCACTTATATCATGTTTCTTTTAATATATCTAATGACAATCAGACCAATTATATTCTATAAGTCTTTGAGACATAATTTTGATCCCCATTAATATGGCATGGTAGATCTCCAGTGAGATACTTCTACTTGTTTATATGAAATTTATAGATTATAGTATTTCCAAAATTTAATTTATGGGGTGTGTATGGTACAATAGAAAGGGTACAGATTTGTAAGTACACAATTTTCGGGTTCAAAAATACGTTTTTTCATATGAAGCAGTGGTGGTGATATCCATTTTTACTTGAAAATATAGATGTAAATATGTTTCAAATCGTAAGTGTAAATAGCCCTTTCAAAATTGCTGCGATAACTTAAAGCATCACTATTGGTTTGCCTTGTGATATATATCAATAAATAGGAAAACCATTGGGTTATCCTCTAATAGAAATAGACAGAACAATGATTAAGTTTCTTTCTAAAAATCCATGTAGTTCAAAAGTATCATCACAACAGCTAAAGAATTACATAGTCTTGATTAATGTTATTTGTTTTAAAGTTGGTTTTAAAATATCAATTGACCATGTTGCATCTAATTTTGATCCCGAATTGTTCCAAAAATACCAAAGCAGTTACCGAATTCGTGATGTCGATTATATTCAATGGTCGAGTATCTTCAAATAAATTTAGCAGAGAATTGACGTGTTTTTATATTGTTTGCTTGTCTTATAAATAGAATATTCAGATTAGCGAGCAATTCAATTTCACCCGAAGGATATATAGACGGAGACTTGGTCATCCACTTACTAATAAACATAAAAATTGCTAACGGTTTACATTAAAGAAAATAATAATTTCTTTTTTAGAATTTCTGCTCCAACCAAGTAACAAAAATTCAAAATTACATATGTACTGTTATAATATGGAAAGATAGTTAAATTCAAAATGTATTCATATCAAAAAATGGAAAAGGCAGTCAAGTATGATTCCAACTAAAATTTTCAAAACTTAAGAAATTAAGCTAACTTCTTTAGATGTTTTCTTACACAAATGTTTACAAGTTGCAACAATTTTTTTGTATTTTTTTTCAAATTTTATTAAAAGTCTTCTGGATAAATTATTGATTTATTGGATTACATATTGATTATTACTAAATATATACTTTGATAACTAATTCACTCTATGTAAATTTGACATAGTTTGACGTATTTGACATAGTTTAACAAATATATTGAAAATTTCTTAAGCTAAGTTTTAAATACCATGGGTATCAATTTACAATCAACGAGTTGTAATTTACACTAATTTTCCACTAGCCGTCGGTCTATTTCAATGTATATGTTAAGTCGAGATTTTTATGAAGTCTGGTGTTACCTCTTGAGGTGAGATAAGGAAAGCTTAAAATAGTTTAATTAATTATTTCAAACGAATATCCAAGGCGATTTTTGCTGCTCCAATTAATCCAAGATAACCTTTACTAGCTGGATCATCATCTGAGTTGATAAAATGTAGTCTTAATTTATATTTGCATGTTGCTTCTACTCAATACAGTCCTTTAGTGATATCTAGGCATCGGTTAACCGAGTTTTAATTTCTTTATTACAATAAATTACTTTATTTTTACTTCCCACCTCAAAAGAACGACAAAGAGATAATAAGACTCTTAACCCTTTCCACTCGGATGCCGCCGGAATTCTATATAAAATTGGCGTGCGTCAAGCTTTTTCTCTTATTTTGAGTTGTTAACTCGTGGGTGAAGCTTGAGCAACTAGACCTGAATCAGAAGTCCCGGGTTCGATCTCGCACGAGGAGCCTGATGTCAAGCAGTAGTGATATTGGTTTTCATTTAGAAATATGGATGTTTCCAAGTAAAAATATCCCTCACCAATAAAATATTTGTCGTATTACAAAATTGTAATAGTAAAATTCAAAACCGATGTAGTATTGTCAAATTAGACCAATAGACTTATAAGAATCTTTAGTTTTGATTTCAAAACAATAAAAGTGGTTTGTTATATATGTAATAATGGTTTTTCCAAATTCTTCGTATATCTTGCTTCAAATTATCGTAAAAATTTGGAAATGTGAACTGAAATGTATCATTTGATACGTGTAAAATGAACCCCAATTAACATTTTGGTATCTATTATTTTTAAGAAAATAGTTTGATCATAAGAAACAGACAAAATAAAAATAAAAAATTAGAAATATTGACAATAAATTATATTTTCTTCTGCAACCATATAAGGCGACTGTAACGTTGGAAGGCAATAACATTGTGGTACCACTTGTAAAAGTTGCAACAATAAAAACCATACGTCAGGCAGATTTATATACATCCGTAAAGTTTCTGTTATCCTTTTTTACTATTTTGATATTGCACACCTTACCCTGAAAAAGCATACCTGAGATAAAGGGTTTATTGAGCTCTACCTTATTCTATTATAGGTAAATGTTAAAGAGCAAAGGATACTTGAGAAACATTTGAATTCGTGAAGAGAATTTAGGAATGTTTAAAATAGTTGGTTGAGAACTAAAGAACAATCTATAACATTGTTACAAAGTTTATACAAAAGTAAAATACTGTCAATAGAACGACGAGTTGCAAGAGATGCGAATAAATGTTAAGTTTATTCAGTAGCAGATTGTTCAAGATAAGTTTCAGAAAAGTTCAGATAATTTTCTGTGTTCTCAAAAATAAAGATTTTTAGAAATTTTCTTTGAGGTTTCTTCATTGCTATTCAGAACTTTCCTAAAAATATTGGTAACGTATTGCAATTTAATCTTGGTCTTTCTGGACTTCTAAAATTGATCATTTACCATTGTCTACAACTGGAGCATCATTAGACCTTACAATCTTGTGGGTTCTTCTCTCCATAGAATCTTCAACACCATTATTACCACCAGTTTTTACCAAAAATTGCATTTTAAAACTCGCAAAAACCCATTTTTTTGACACTTTATAAAACACAGTTAATTGGCTGCATTCTTCTACTGAAGCTTCCAATTAAAGCATTTAATGATGATTTATGATCCGATTCTGCTGTAACCTAGACCAATGTTATAGCAAGGCCAGGTTACGTTCCAGTTCTCATACAAAATTGTACTCAATACTGTCACAATGCAATGAATTTGCTGCGATCAGGAGTTCTACACATAAAATGGAACTTCACTCATATGTTATCAAGTCATATCTCAAAGGTAAAGTTATGATGAAATTGTTTTTTGACATTTGTAAGTTATTCTATGTTAGGTTTTATATCTAAAATGTCTGACTGCACAGCAACCACCTAGGACTTTGACAGCTTTTAGTACCACTTTATATGAAAACTGCCAGATAACATAGCCTTGCCATAACATTGGACCATTTTACAGCTGAATTAACCCCTGGGATTTTGACACATTTTACAAAATTTGTACTTGTAAAATTTTGAGAAGTCTTAAGCAACAGTGCCAAAGTTTGTGGGAAATGAAATTTTCAAAATAGCTCAGAAGATACGAGTTATAGATTTCATTTTAGAAAATTGGAATTTTTACATCATTAACCAAATTTATACTATTAACGTTTTTGGTACATTATTAACTCAATTACATACACTTCTAGTTTATTCAAATCAAAACTATATCATGGAACACATGTGTAACCATATTACACACATGTGTGTCACTTTATATGAAAACTGCTACATAACAATAGCCTTGCCATAACATTGATTTATTTTATATTTAGAAGTTTTTGTTAATTACGAAATACTATTATTATATTTGTATTACTATATTAGTTTGTAATTATTATTATATATAAGGATAAAACTGGTATGTTCACCGTGTGTAGGAATATCTGAGAATCATTACCTCATTTTCGAATGAATCCTCGTCAATATGTTAATGCTCATAAAACGAACAATGTATCATGATCTCGATTTAATCCTGTAATTCTCTCTAAGTGCTGACTCGAATTAAATGTATAGATTATTTGACAGACGTATAATGTAATGCAGGCGCTTCCAACCTTGTTACCGACCGACCAAAAAATTTCCTCTGCTAATTGTAAGCACTAATTTTACTAATTAAGTGATTGCATAAAAAAGTTACGTTTTATGCGTGTTATATAACTATTATTTATTAGTTGATTGTAGTCCATCTTGTAGGAAAAAGGTAGTCGGTTCGATCTTGGTCTTAATATCTATTTAACAAAAGTGTCGGAGGAACTAAAAAGTTTTATTGTAAGACCTTCAAAAACTTTGTCTGGTATTGACTGGGGTCTATAATCTAGTAAAAAGGTTGTCGAATTAATCTTCGCCTAATAGCAGTGTCCATCTATACCATGCAGGAACTAGAAAGTTTTTGTATTGGTACCGGTGTTGTATGAATCACGCCTTCAATTTGAATTTAAATTAAATAGTTTGTGATTTCTGTAAATTATAAGTAAAAGTTAAAAATTCCTAAATTGAATGCCATAAAGAAAGTAGAACTAAAAATAAATCCTCGTTTTTGAACAGAGTTAGCTTGAACAGTTTTGATCCAGAGTCTTAAAAGTTTCTTTACGTATTTTTAACTACGTGTTTTTACTTTTAAGAATCCATAATTGCCTTATCTATTTATCTGTTTAATATTAGAAATCAACTCAATGTTCAATAATGATATAATTTAATTTTGTGCAGCAATGTCGGAAAGGGTGGTTTTCACTTAGAAACAAACGTCTACATTCGGAAGTAAAAATGTACATCACTACTGCTTGATATCAGGTTGATATTTTTTAAGTTTAGTCGATTTTTTAGAATTAACAGAGAACAGTGTAAAATTTGATCTGGCTATTTGTAATTACTTATTAAAAAAAAAAATTTTTAACGATTTTAATGATACTTTTTGAAGCACCAAAGCTCATGGATTTAACGAGCATCCTAAAATGCAATGGACTTATAAAAAGTGGGTTGGTTGTAAAAAATTATTAAAATTTAGAATAGGCTCTGCAAAAGTTTCAAAATTCTTAAGGTACAATTTTAAAAATTGCTAAATCTCGAATTATATTTTGATTATTTACAAATATCAGTTTTACATAAAAGTAAGTTATAGTAATCGCATAAAAATTGGAAATGAAAATGTTTGTGTCTTTACGTTTTAAAGGTTTCTGAACATTTAGGCATATAAAAAATGAATGTATCTGTGCATGTTTGAATTCAAATTTTTGTCGACGATTTCGAGAGCACGGATCAACCGATTTGAATAATTCAAAAAGCATTCCATTCGTATTGATGAGGAGACGTGCTTATTAGTTTTTGGCAAAAGCAGGTTCAGTCGTTTTGATGATACGGGGCAAAAAGTGCCAAAAATGTCAATTCAGTTTTTGCGAAAACGGAGCGTCCAAATTGAATAATTCAAAAAACATTTCACTTGTATTGGTAAAGTCAAAAATTGATTATATGAGAGGCTGGTATAGAAGTTTTGGAAATCTAATAGAAATGTTAAAAAAGCCATTTGTAAGTGAAAATTATGATCAGGCATACGCACATCAAACTATCAGATATTTTATAGATATTTTAATAATAACAAAGGTTGTTTACATTTTCATGAGTTTTGTACCAATGTTTATTACTAATACTGCAACGTGACGCTTACGCGCTTTGAAATTTTGTCTCTAAAACAGCAACGCCTCGCGATTACTTTGATAAAAGTTCAAGATTTTAAAAAAAATCTTATTCTTATATACAAAAAAAATTCAAATTTCTCGAAAAAGTCAAATCATTAAAAAAAATACAAAATCCTCAAAAATTTTATTTCGTGAGAATTTTCAAAAAAATTCAAAACTTCTTTAAAAAATCAATTTTTGTTACTGAAAATACCAACAATTTGCTTTACGGCACTAGTTTGATCTTCAATTTTCAAGTAAAAACGTATATCACTACCACTTGATATCTCGTTGTTCATAATACGGAAATAAAGCCCCTAAGGCACTTACCGGGAAGGCTACCTCCTCCCCCTTCCCACAAAAAGCAAAAATATGACTTACAAATTGTGGTAAAGTTCCCTCAGCGTACTCTTACAATGTTTTACGACCCTCATGTTGGAAACCCCTGGTACAACGTGATGCACAAACCATATCGTGTGTTATGTATATTTGTGTGTAAGTCACTTTTGCACGAAGACGAATATCGGCGCCTGTCACGCCAGCCGAGCAATAATGTAGTAACCTACTACCACCTACTACCACCTACTACCACCTACTACTACCTATGTTTGTATGTACAAGGCGATTAACTTATTTCAGGTTTATATTCAGTCGGTCGGCTTAGACTCTTAGAGGGTTGAGGCTGAGGTTGAGGTTTTCTGTCTAATCAAATAGTTGACTTACTTAGATTCTAGGTCGATAGGGCACAGGAATTAGGTTTCAATGTCAAACATGTGATTGTGTACTTGATTCGATTTAGAAAATGACAACGATTTTGTCAGTTGATAATTTTAAGCTGACGTCGGTTATAGGTAGATAACTAATTTGCTAAAAATATATTTGTAATTTCATGATAATTGCTGCAATTATCTGAATTGATTATATTGTATTACATGTTTTATGATATTAAATTTAAACTCAGGTATATATTTTGATAAATATAAATAGACATCAAAAGCATGGTAGTATATATTACATAAAGTTATTCCATGTTTAAAAAAATTCTTCAGTTTTTTTATTTTTTTTTTAAACCAGTGTTTGAAAATTATTTCTATTCTGTTTTTTTTGTAATCTAAACTTTAAGCCCTATTAGCTATTTGGCTAATTTGATTTAATATTTGTCAGGTAGTCAGTTCTACAGATGGCAACCCAAGCAGTTTTCCCATCTCTTTGTGATGAATTAATATCATAATCAAATGCAGATGTATTGATGCTACAATTTCTGATTTATTTTCACTCAGAAACATATTGCTATCAAGAGTCCCAAGTAAAAAAAAGTTATCACTACTGCTTGACAACAGATTGCTCGAAGCGGGATTGAACCCGAGACCTCTGATTCACTTACTTACGAGTGAGTGCTATTGTTCATTTCCAACATGAATTTTTACTTTATCCCCATATTCAATTTTTATTTCATTAGGCAGTTGGTATAACCTGCTCGTATTTTAGACAAAGATTTTGCTTTTGTCTAAATTAATGTTCCTGATTCTGGTTTGTTTCAATTATGGTACAAATTTTATTTTATTCTTTTACTTTTTATGCGTTAGCATTGTTCAGGTTAATTTTTATCATTTTCTGTAGTGGTCTGTTCAATACTTTCTTTGTAGTGTGGAGATGATGATGTCCTAAGTATTTGCCAATTATGTTTGTGGGAATATCGCCATGGAAAATTTTTTGAAACTGAATATTATTTAGCATATTTTTTGCATATATACGAGTATATACATTTTTTGAAGTAATTAATATTTGATCAAATCTTCGATGAATTACATGATAAATCAATAAAGAAGATAACTAAAATTGCTCAATACTAGCTTATTGATACAGTTAAAAATGTGCATATTATTACTTTCACTGTACTTTCATTCAGGATCATTTATATCTTTGGCAATTTACTCTCCTTGAATCATGTGATCTTTGAAAGCTCACTTGAAATTCTTGATCTTTGTTTGGGCTGAAAAGGCTATGAATAAGTTTGGATGAAATAATCTCAGCTGAGAATTTTGTTGAAATTTAAGAAACATTTATCTATCATTACAATTTACAATTGTAAATAATGTAAAAATTTACAAATGTTTCATGATGTATATTAATTATATTGTTGCTTGATTTGTTAAGCACTAACTTTAATTAAATTTGTTCTTTGCAGAAAACTGATAGAGCTAATTATCAAGGCACAATGTGAACCCACATAATACAAAAAGTTAAGGAATAGATCATAGTTTCATTTTGTGTGATCCAAAAAATTATCTGGACAG